AAGAAAAAAAAAACAAATAGAAAAATAAATGCACTTGTTAGTTTTCTTTGGCTTTTATACATCTTGCAGACATATAAAAAGAGTAAAGCAAATAAGAATAAAGATGGATTGCGCCATATATTTTTGCACTTTCCATAAATAAAGTGTGCATTTATAGACTGGAGATGTAAAAAGAGATATGGAAATGTGTAGGTCGAAAGAGAATGGACATTCTAAAAATTTCAATATCTTTCTCTCTTATGTTTTCACCACTTTTCACAATGAATAATAAGGGATACATCCTGCTGTTGATAAACAATTAATACATCAACTTTAGAATATTTAAACACTAAACAGTGCATAATAATTTGTTACACAATTATATCTATCACATATATAACAGTATCTATCATTTGTCGTCAATAAATTATATCATTAATATGTAAATAATGTAATTAGAATAATTCTTATTACATTCAAATAATGTATATGCAAAATTACTTTAAATAATTTTGGTTAAGATTAAATAAATTTAAATGGATAAAACATTTTCCAAAAAATGTATTGTCTAAATAAGATAGTATGTTATTAATCGATTATATATTGCTCCATTATAAAACAGTAATTGTTACTAAATTGTTACTAAATTCCATATACTACAGTTCAACATTCAGGTTTATCTCAAATTTCATTAAACTGAATCCCAGGGTTTATCTCAAATTTCATTAAACTGAATCCCAGGTTCTATAAAATCCAAGATATAACTTTCCATTCCAAACTGTATATAATTTTTCACATATTTATACAATGACGACATTAATCTCGCTGCGATTTATTATTTTATACACGGAAAAAAAGTCAATATAGCAAATAACGTATAAGATATCCGATCTGATATCAGAAACAATAGAAGATTTATTCATAGACTAAATGGTTTGCTTTCCACGCATTATTGAACGGAAAAGACGCGCAAGTATATTTATATTGGACACTAATATTGTTGATAAAATCTAATATATCAAAAATCGTCATTATTTCAATTATAATTAATTCCCTAAAACGTCATTAGTTCAATATTTTTACGATGGGTAAATGTAATGTAAATATTTGGCACAATATTTTCCAACTAATCATTTTTCGATAATTGTTTGAACATATTGTTATTTTCTAAAGATTACAATATGTTCTATTTTCTAAAGATTTTATAATTGTTATTGTTTTAATAAAAAATATCGCAGTATCATAATTATACTCGATAATCATTAGCTATCTTTATTAAGTTTTAACAAATTCATGTCAATAATATCATAGGTGTAATTAAAATGTATTTATCTGACAAACTAATAATTATAAATTATAAATCAAACAAATAAATCAGTAATATTGCAATAATAAATTTTCACAGAATACTATAACATCGTAATTAATTAAGCGTAAGAAATATCTAAAATTATCATTATTTGTACTTTCAAAAATTATCTTTTTTATCTTGTTGCGGTACTTTTATTCTTTATATTTATCTTTTTACCATAAAGGCTTTCTTCAATTTTTTAATAGATATCTTGAATATTATTTATACTAAATTAAATCTTTGATGAAAATTTTATATTAATTCTGTTGATGTAAGTAAAAAAATAAATCTAATATGCTTATAATCAATTTTAAAGATATCATGTAATTATATAGTTTGCTGATGAAAAATTATAACAGCTAACAAACTACATAAGCACATTTATATATTGTTTTAATATCCAATATTGAAACTTTAATTCACCTGAATATATAACAATAACTAACATGCTTTGTTATTTGTATCCTAATAAACATGACAGAAATTAATGTGACATTTCTCTCTCTCTCAATATTTCGTTTTCATTAAAAATTTTCTTAAAACATGAACAAGGTTAGAAAATAACAAAAAACGAAGATTCATTCATAATTTGCCAAAGTTTTTAACCTTGATACAGTTGCAGCAACATCTACACAATGATTAATTACATTGTATAAGATTTGTTGTCGATCGTGTAAAAATATAAAATTTTTTTATCAATTTGTATTTTTCATTTAAAGGATACAGCAAAGAAGACAAGACATAAACCAGAAATACTACTATCATAATTTCATATTAGTCATATAGATAATTCATAACGAATTATATGTTGATGTCTATTTTTAATTTAAGAAGTCTCTCAATAATAATTGTAGACAGTAAAACGACCTTCTTAATATTTTTTTGCGTATAGTTTTTGCGAGATAGTTTTGTATAGTGTTTTTTCCCAAAAAGTTCATTAGCCGTTTTGTTCATTACGCGGGACGCGTCTTTGCATGTAAAAACGAATAGCTTCAATTTTTATAATGTGAAAAGACTTACCTGTCCATTCCTAAATTGTTGCTGTTGTTGCTGTTGATGGTGGAAGAGAGCAACTTGTTGTTGAGCAGTCATTTGATTGTTTAGATAAACTAAATGTTCTGCACCAGGTGCACCACTCTGCAACAAATGAGAAATTTGTACGAATATATGAAAGATTATTTACAGTTGTATAGAATAACTTTATAATCTTACGTAAAACATAACGTAAAATTCGTTAATATTCATCACTTACCTTTAATTGCATAGGATGTATCTCATAGGGAACATTACTCAAGTGTACATTGTTCATTGTTAATCCCAATTGTTGAGATTGACTTTGTTGAGGTACACCAAGTTTAGTCATAGAATATTTCCATTTCTCTTGATTCTGCGAGACAAATTGTTTTAATTATATAATTCATCATATTATGCAATACTACATTAATCATAGTATTAACAACATTTATTATGTATATGAAAAGCAATAATATTACATGTAAATTTAGATGTGATATTTTTACTAAACGCGACATATACATAAATTACGATACTCTTATTAAATATACATATTTCATTATTTTAATATTTTTTTTAGATTTAATAGAAAAAAGTGAACAAATGAGAATCAAATGCAATGATAAATGCACATGAATTAAATTTTATAAAAAGATATCGATAGGTATAAAATACACTTTCAACTTACTTTTTTCAGCAGTACAAACGAAAATTTTGGTCAGATAAGTATTAGCGATAAGAACCAAAAATCTCTTTCCTCAATCCTTATCATTAGTTTTTGAAATGTGAGAATTTTTGTTTGTACCGCTGAGGATGATTCAAAAATGAGTTGAAACATCTGATATACTATTGTTCTATTTATTATTTTTTTATATATGCTTTTTAAATTCAAAATAAAACAAATATTTTGAAAATTTGAATAAGTTAGAGCTACTCTTTCTCATGTTAGTAAAAAAATATCTGTACACAAATAATTTAAATGGATTAATCTCAATGGAGATACGTTTATCATACATACATTATCGACAATAACATCATCTGCTAATGCCCAAGCTCTTGGAGCTTGTTTTGCTTGGAAAGTCAAAGATTGGGTGTTAAATTCTGGCTCTGTAGGTCGTTGAAATACATAACCAACCATAGCATCGTCTTGAGTTCTACTCACTCCCATCTGATGTGTCTGACCAGGTTGGATTCGCATATTATCACCACCAGCCATAACTTGCCCACACTGTTCCGTATCCTAATAAAACATACATATTGATGATTAATAATATCATATTTATTAATTATTTAAAGTAAAACTTTTTTATATACTTATAACTAAGGCAACTAAGGCTTTAATGTTTTACGTTAGCAATCACGAAAACAAAATTTGGTTAAGTTTATGTTTTTATAAACAATTTCTTAATTTCTTAATTTGATTATTATATTACAATTCACGATCAAGTTGAAAATCATAAGAAAGATCATTGACATTCAGTTGTCTCTACATTTGGGCTTTTACTTTACTCAGTGAAACTTAATTTGTCAAAACTTGGTTCACATCAACTAAGTTTCTCCACTTTTCAACAGCTTATAACTTAGAAGACTATTAATAGCTTTGACATATATTAAAACAATGAATGGCAATTTTTCAAAATTTCGCCTGGCATCTCCAATTTGGAGATATTAAGATTATTATTTTCACATGATCACTTGCATGGTGCAAGCCACTTGGTCCACTCCTCTCGCACAGCGTGCGAGGACCGTACGTCTTCGTCGACACTATAATAACACTCATGCTGATATTTGCAAACGCTCGCTATTCTCAGCCGCGCACGGCTGGCCCGTGGAGGTTATGGCGAACGATCTCGTGCGCCGTAATTATCGCGGTCACGCACAATTCGCAAGTCGGCATAATCGCGCTCGGTCGTGAAGCGACCGCGAACCGCCAGAAAAAGCGAGAAAGAGAGAAAGAAAAGGAGGACTAAGACCCAAGAGAAAGAAAAAGAAAAGACAATCGTAGTGTACCGTGGGTATGTGGCCGTTGGCGGAGGAGTGATGCAGCTGCATGGAGGATGCCGGTTCGCCCCCGGCGCCTCCGCTGCTCGCGCCGAGCCACTTCATGTCCTCGTGTTGTCAGGCCGCGCCGCTGTCCCCGGGCACGGCGAACGCGGTACGGCCAAACGTGCTGGGGAAGATGCACCCTCGGGCCTCGTGGAGGTTAGCTCCCGTACGGAGAGAGCCGGCGGCGTCTGGCGAGATGCCGTGGAGGATGCCGCTTGCTACGGTCGTTGCCCGAACATGTTCCGTACGCGCGCAGTTGTTAACGGCGATACATTCTCACCGACCGTTTCCACGACGACAACGACGACGACGACGACGACGACGACGGTAAAGACAACGACAACGACGACAGCGACGACGATGACTGCAACAGTGACGAGGCGGCTGTGATTGTGTGAGCGATTGCTGTTGCGGTTGCGACGACGACGGCAGCGGCAGCGGTGGCGGCGGCGACGGTGGTGGTGATGACGACAGTGGTGGTGGCGACAGCGATGCCGATGATAATGACGATGATAACGATGACGAACGGCACGTCGATATCAGTCCGTGAGAGATCGGAGGAACGTATTTATCGAGCTACGAACGAAAACCAGACAGTTACAGCAATGGCAGCTGCGTGCAGCTCCGGCGCGCCGCTGCCGGATTTTTGACAACACTGTGTGTGCCTGATGTGTGCGCGCCGGATACACGAAGAGGGAGAGAAAGCGAGAAAGACGAAGGTGTGAGGAGGAAGAGAGAGAGAGAACACAAAGGAAACCGTCGTGAACGGCGGGCGCGCACGATGACCGCGGGATCGCTCGTTCACTCATTCGCTCGCTCACTCGCTCACCCACTCGCTCGCTCGTACAAGCGAGATCCTTGGTTAAAGCGATGGTCTCTGACGCACGAACTGACCGACCGATCGAGTAACCGACCGACACGCACCGCGGCGAGCAGCGAGCTCACGGAAAAGGCCGAGGAAGGAAGGAAAGATGAAACAAGCGAGAACTGCGTGCACGTCGGCAGCGAGAAAGGAGAGAGGTAGCGAGAGAAAGGGAAAAGAGAGAGAGAGAGAGACTCTGCGGACGAGAGAAGGACGGCGAAGGACAGCAGACAGAATGAGCGAGCGAGCGAGCGATAGGGACAGAAAGAGAAAAAGAGATATAGAAAATTCGAATCTCTACTCTCAATTTGTGTGATAAGCTGGAGATCTCGGTGAACGTTTACCTCGCCCTCGATAATCGTTTTCCGTCGAGGATCGCTTCGCGATTAACGTCCCTTTCTTTTTCTCTCTCTCTCTCTCTCTCTCGTCTCCGCGTTGCACTCACAATATTCTCCGTCTCGCGACTTTCCCGTCTTCTTCACTCGGTCATTTCGTTAAAACTAAGGCTTAAAATACACTATTCACAGGTATGTACAGCCACGCGAGCCACAGACACTCGACGTGCATCCACCGGCGTACGCGTGTTTCGCGCGCAAGGATGCTGCGTGCGCGATTTTCGTGGTGGGAGGTAGCAGAGCGCGGAACAGCAGCGACCAAGGGGGGGGGGAAGGAGAGAGAAGATGGACGGCTGTGTGTCATGCTGTCTCGCTTAGCCTTTATTAGGGTACACTCATCGTATCTCACATGATATGTGTCTAGTCCCCCTGCCTCCCACTTCCCCCTTCCCTCTCTCCTACCCCCGTCGGTCGTAGAATCTAATTTGGGGTCCTTTTATTTTATTTCGATAAAATATCTCACTTGTACGTATCGACATAACACGCTTGGCGAGATAATTCGTATAAAATTGGCCTCCCTTCGTGGCCGCGATGAAAATTCAATTTTTTATGTTGGACGTGACGGAGACAAAACGTACGACGCCACCTGTCGTCGTACGTTTTAACGTCGCCGAGGAGGGCATAGGAAGATGGTTGTTCGCGCGCGAAACTTTTGAACATCTCCTAAATGTCGATCATGCGTAGTCGATCTGACATGATCCAAACGCGGTGAATTCTTTTCCTAATAAAATACGAACAATCATTTCAGGTGCCATCGAGACCATAAATATCCAGAAAGGGGAAAAGAAGGACAATTGCTTCCTTTCTTGCCTCGTTTTTTAATTATAATTATAAATTATAAGTATAAAATTATTAATTACTCTATTATTATATCTTTATATAAAAAATAGTATATCTAATAAAATTCTATATGAATAAAATTAAAAATATATTTTATTGCAGCTTGAAAAATTATATCAAGAAAATTATAATAAGATACAAGAAAATATGCAATGTAATTAAAAAGGAAAAATAAAAGTGAGAAAAACAACATTGGTAATGGCTAGAGAAGCAATACATAAGTAAGATCCCCTTGAGAAAATTCCTTTTCTAAATGATTAGGATGATGCGATTGAACAAATAAAGTATGCGCTCATACGAGTACGCGTGTATTTAGCGAGTATATGATTATTAGTACAAATATAATTGTACAATGTAATATGAGAATATGGACAGAGTATTGACAATATCAACTGTTTTCAATAATGGATGATAGTCTTGTCAAGAAATACTCATTTATTATTTTATTAATATGTGTTTAGAATTGATTTTTTTATTATTTTTAATAAATGAAAAAAAGATTTGATTAAAAAAAATTCGATTGTCCAAATTTGACGTCAGACGAACAAGAAATTTCGTTGGAAGCAATTTCGACAATCAAATTTGCTTTCTATTATTGATTAGATTATATATATAAAATCACAATTTAGCTTTTTAAAAGGAAATTGAATGAAGGATGAAAAATTTCACCGTGAATAATTTTATCAATCAAATTAGGATCATTCAAAATTGTGATTAGTTTCATTGACGATTAATTTATTAGATAGAATTATCTAATAAATTACAGAGTTATTAAAGAGAGAAAGGTCCGGTTTTAGAAATTGGATTGCAAAAACGATCCAATTTTTAAAACCGGACCTTTTTCTTTTTAATAACTCTATTAATTTTATAAACGCTAAAAATAGAACAGATGTTATTTGATAGGTAACTATTAAAGTTACTCGAAGTTTAATCGAAGTTGATCTTATATCCATTTCTACTAATATAAATTAATCTCAATTAAATTTATTTTTAATCTACTTTTAATTCTAGTTAGAAAAAGATAAAGGGTATTAATTAAATTTAATATAAATTAAAATATATATATATAATATAATATAAATATAAATTATAAATTAAATCGAAATTAAAGTTAATCCACAAAAAGGTAGAAATAAATGTGACTTTTATCTATTTCTACTACTATTAACTTTAATCTTCCCGGTAAACAATTTTCCATACATAATTAGATATAATAAGGTATAATTATAGATATCATATAAGGTATCATATATAAAA